CGAGTTGAACAATTGAGCGCCGCGTGGCATGCTTGGACTCAGCAGATGGAGCTTTCACCGGGAAAGGTGAAATAGTCGCGCGCCCCAAGTCAGGTAGCAGGAGGTAGGAAAGGAGTTAGCCTCTGCTTAACTGGCAATCACATTCCACTTTTGACTTGCTTCTAACACGCCTTCTGCCGCTCTACGGCCAGAAGCCATTGCCCCTTGAATCGAAGCAGCATCGAGATAGTCACCACATAAGAAAACACCATCTTCTCGAAGCGAAGGCTTCTCTACGGGTTCGAGTGAAGATTGTTTCGGCAGTGCATGTCGTACGTGATAATTGCGCAGATGTCTCCACTGCTGCGCTTCGGGGCCAAACCATTCGCCTAATTGCCGTCGCACGGAAGTGACAATCTGATCCTCATCATCCCCCAGGCCATTTACGACTGAGACCGAAACCAATGCACTGCCGGGCGGTGCGTAGGATGCAGCTACTTGACTTTGTACGCACAAATTATTAATCGGCCCCCTGCCCTCACCATTGAGCACCAAGATTGGTTCCTTAACGGGCGACTTTTCAGCGGCAAAGTAAAGACACATCACTTCGTTCCAGGAGCCTTCATTCGCTGACTCACCTAGAATTTCGCTTGCAGCCGACTGTTCGACCGCGACAACCACTGCCCTTGCTGATCTTGTCTCGCCACTGGCAAGCCCAACATGATTGCAGCCTACACGTCTGACCGGTGCGTTCGTCTGGATCGTTCCGCTGGGTAGGCCATCTGCGATCTGCCGTGGAATCGCCTGCATACCTTTCGCTGGTAATACCGCGTCGCCAGTTGAAAACATGCTGAAGACGAATTCGAATTTTCGACTGGAAGTATTCAACTCGGATTCTAGAAAAACCCCGCCGAGGAAAGGGCGGAAAAACCGCTCGGTGATCGACTCCGAAAATCCGTCTTCCCGCAGTCTTTCCAGGGTCGAGACCTCGGGCCTGTTGTATAACTCGTGTAAAGACTGAGAACACAAGTCCCTTCTCAAGCCAGCCACGCGGATTTTGTCGGCGATCGATGCTACTGGAGAGGTCGCAGTAGCCAACAAGTGCTTCGGCCGTCGCCACGGATCCACGAACCTATGAAAGGTTCCGTTGGAACGTATGAGCGCCCCAGGTTCGATTTTACGTAGATCTAGGGCCTCGTAGTCCAAGACCGCTTGCGCTTCTGGATAAGATGTGAGTAAGACCTGAAAACCATGGTCGAGCAAGAAACCGTCGACCTCATCTGTCTTCACTCGACCGCCAATCGTGTCGGAAGCCTCGAGGATATCGCAAGTAATGCCACGCTTTGTCAGGTGGTGAGCACAACAAAGGCCCGATAAACCGGCGCCAACAATTAGAACATCGGGGTTGCTCATCGGTTTCTCGATTCAAGCTATAGTTTCACCGAAAAGCGGGGTGGAAAGATATCGCTCGCCTAGACTGCACATGATGGTGACGATCCGCTTGCCCGCGAACTCCGGTCGAGCCGCGACCTGGGCTGCAGCCCACATGTTGGCCCCGCTGCTGATCCCAGCCACTATGCCCTCTTCTCGAGCGAGCCCCCTGCCCCACTCGAACGCGTTTTCGTCTTCGACGGTGACCACTTCATCTACCAGCGCAGTATCGAGGTTCGCTGGAACGAACCCGGCGCCAATACCTTGAATGCGGTGCTTTCCGGCTTTCCCGCCACTAATCACAGGCGAATGTGCCGGCTCAACAGCGATCACTTTGAAGTCGGGATTCACAGACTTCATGAACCTTGCGACACCGGTAATGGTGCCGCCGGTTCCGACCCCCGCCACAATCGCATCAATGTCGTGCCCACTGTCTTCCCAAATCTCCGGCCCAGTGGTTTTCTCGTGGATGGCAGGATTCGCCGGATTCTCAAACTGCTGAGGCATCCACGCCTTTGGGTCTTTCTCAACAAGTTCACAAGCTTTGCGGATAGCTCCAGGCATCCCCTCAGCGGCTGGTGTCAGCTTTAAATTGGCCCCCATTGCTCGCAAGAGGGAGCGACGCTCGGTAGACATTGACTCTGGCATAGCCAGTGTGAGTTTGTAGCCCTTCGCGGCACACACAAACGCTAATGCGATGCCCGTGTTTCCGCTGGTCGGCTCGACGATATGCGTCTCTCTTCCCACCTTTCCTTCCCGCTCACCGGCTTCGATCATCGCTACGCCAATCCGATCTTTCACACTATTCAGCGGCTGAAAGAATTCGCACTTAGCGAAGACCGTGGCGTGCCCGGGAGGGACAAGGCGATTAATCCGCACCATGGGGGTGTCACCAATTGCTTTAGATGCATCTTCATAGGTGCGACCACGGTCCATGAGTTGTCTCCCTTCAAGCTTTCTTATAGGTCCCCACCACCAGATTGAATCACGGCCCACTGCCGGAGATGGTGCTGCAGAGAATGCTGATTAATTCTTCTGAGATCGTCATGTGCCTCGGCAAAGCTGGCCACATGATTCACTGCTAGAACTTTCAATTCTTGCGGAACGCTTTCCAGGCTGCAGGGTTGCCAGTCGGAGGGCCGCTCCACTATCAGCAACAGATAGTCTGCTTTGAGACAAGTCAGGCGGTTCGTGGTATGCATTACTAGCTTCCGAAATGGCAGAGATTGAACGTAGCAATAAGACTTGCGCAAGAAGATTCTTGAAAGCAGGTACTTATATTGGCTTGCGGGCCAATCACCCGGCAATTGACCAATGTGCTGCAAACTATATCCAGTAGTGGTCTAGACCATAGAGATGCTTTGACAAGCCCTGTTTTTGGGAAAGGAAGTAGGCCACCAGACCAGAACAACTTAGAGAAATAGGGTTCCCGCTGTACCCTGGATAGCGAGATTGCGGAAACTTCGCTTCACAAGTGAATTAGAATTTGGAGGGAGCAACTGAGATTCAGATGCTCCAACTAGATAGAACCCGTCGAGTCGGACCTGAGAAATGATCAATAGTTGGATTCTGGCAATCGTGACGCTGGGGGCATTCCTGCTGGCGGCGGGTGGTGCTTGGCTTGTGGCTCGGCGAACACGCCGACGACGACAACGACGGACGATTCAATGGAAGATGTGGTTCCTGGTGGCTTGTGGAGTCGTGCTCGGCTGGTATGCATTCTGGGCCGATAGTGGCTTACGGAAAACAACGTTGCACGAAGTCATATTGGATGGTTCAACGGCGGGTGGTTCTGTAGATGGCGAGGCTGCCCACCGCATCACGTTTTCTGTGGAACATCCCAACGTCGAGCATGACTTGATGATCGGCCCAATGTTCCGCCCCCCAACGTTGCAAAGAGCAGACTATGAGATTCGCATCGGAGCGACCGTGGCCCGAGACGGCCAGCCATCGCTACTCAACGAGGAACTGAACTTCTCACCTCGCACGCAAGACAACAACTGGAGCCCGGCCTACTTACACTTCACCCCCAAGAAAACAGGCCCGCACACGCTCACCCTGCTATTGCGTACTCCCAATATCCCGGCAATACACATTCGGGTTGGCGATCCGCTGAAGACCGATGGCGAGCGCATCGCGGGATACTGACAGGATTGTTCCGAGCAGCTGCGTATGACGGTATTGGAAGAAGGCTCTTTCAAAGGCCACGCCATGCTTCTTGGCTTGCGACCACAACCTCATAACAGCTAAACCAGTGAGTCACATCACTGCGAAGGTTCCTCGCTCGACGGTCGAAGACCATCTTGACCATGCTTCTGCCCCAAGCGTTGCTGCATGTGTGCACTCCAACTCTCATATCGGGACAAGGTAGCTCAGCCGCTGAAAAGAACTTTCCAGCAGAAGCTCTGTGCCATCGAGAACAGCTGCCCTGAATTGAGTGATCGTGAAGTCGGCCAACTCCCCATGCTTGCGAAGACCGACTGGACACTACTGCAGATTAGCTGTCGTTCCCGGTCAGTTGGTCGTTGTAAGGCAGGTGGTTAAAAATCATTGATCTCGACGATCGCTTCCGAAGTGTGCTTAGCTTCGGCGAGTTCGCGGTCACCGAGTGAATGAATGAATTCTCGCGCTTTTTCTGTGTCTGACTCATCTTCGATCACAGAAATAAGCTCTGCGATGTCGTGCTGGATTTGTTGGATCCGGTAGGGCAAATCCTCTGGACCGGTTTCACTTGCTTCCATTTTACGCAAGTGTTGTTCCACGTGCTCGCTCGGCACAAATTGGACCCATGTTTCGAGAATTTTCTTATCCACATCAACTTCGCTGGTGTCGAAGAAACCCACCATGTGCTGCTGACGCTCGGCCAGTGTATTAAGGAGCATACCAGTCTTGGTTTCTCCCTGAGCACTCGCAGCCGCTTTGCAAACCTGGCTCATCTCGTCATGAACGCGACGCAAAATATGGATAATGTCTTTTACTTTTTGATAGGAGCGTGGCAGTTCTTCGTTCATCGTCTTCTCCGCGGCTAACCTGCTTGCCTTTCTGATTAGCCAATCCACACATCCGGGATCGGCTCAACCGCACCATCGTATTGTATTGCCACGATTCTTCCTATCCTCATTGCCATTCTCGCGCCCGGCCATCGCGTCAAAGCGAGCTCAACAGGCAGCAGCAGGTGACTGGTGAGACACCACGTCACACCAGTGCCTAAAGCTGCAGCACCCGTACCCCGGCACGTACCAGTGTGAGTTCTGCACTAGGAATGTCTGTACAGATCGAATTTGGGCAACCTGGTCGGCTGGATCTTGAGCGTACTTTTCTACGCAATGTTGCTGTGCAGACCAGCAGGAAACATAACAGACAGAGCCTTATCTACTTAGGTGACGAGCACTCCCTGAGGCCGAAAACTCGATTGCCCCTGCCCTCGGTTCGAACGACATCGAGGATCACCACTGAAACCAGGATTTGCTTCTTTGTTCACAGCCAAAGCCTGAATCTGTAGTTCTCGGCTTGCCTCGGGGCTTGAAGTAGTCAGCTAAATTCGGGTTCGCAAGGGGACAATCGAGATCCCTCCGACCTGAAGTCTGGATCTATTCGAGCAACTCCGGCAGTCGCCTTTCGAAATCTTTCCAGGCAGGGCCTACGAGATAAGGCTCCTGATCAGAACTGGCTGCATCGCCTTGACGAGGATCCCGAGTGATCTTTCGTCGTCCGGCTAGGATCTCGATCCGCGCATTGTCGAGCGTGTTGAGAGGATCTTCTGTGAATTTAGAGGAACTGATGGGGCCGAGGTACAGGCGACCAACGGCGTTCGGTTCTGTTAGTTCTGTATCGCTGAATGAGCGAAGCTGCTTGAGTGCGGAACAATTCTCAGCCAGGGCCCAAGGATTGAACTGACTGTTTTTCCAGCCCACAAGGCCAAGCATGGGGTAGTCTGATTTATCGTTGCCGCGAAGTATAGCGGCGTCTGGGAAAGACTGAAGAAAGCTAGCCACAATGATGTGAAACTGCGACTCGGTGAGCTGGTACATGGGCAGCCACTGGCAGAACAGTCCCCCGTTTCGCAGTGCCTCGCGTGCTGCCTGAAAGTGTTCGACGCTGAATAGCCGACCCTCGCCGGCGCCGTAAGGGCGATACAAATCACCAATGATTACATCAAAGTGATCCTTCGTGGCCGCGATGTAGGTACGCCCATCTTCGATTACGACACTGGATCGTGGGTTTTCGGAGAGGTGGTTATTGAACTCACCGAAGTGCCTCTCAGCAGCATCAGCCACCAGTGAAGAAATCTCAACCGCAGTCAGCTGACTGTTCGCGGAATAGTCGAGTGCAGCACCGGCCGATATCCCGGTTGCCAGACCGACGCAACATACTCGCTCGGGTGCGGGATGCAGCAGCATTGGAAGAAACACTTCACGCCGTTCGTCGCGGACGCTTCCGCTGCTGCCTAGTAGGTATTGGTTATTGACAAGAATACCCATGCCTTTTGAGGGACTCTCAACTACCAGCAGAACTCCCTCTCGGCCGAACTCAGTGGCAAGCGTCTTGTACTGAACCGTCGTTCGAGGAGAGAGATAAGGTATGTGAATCAATTCAGCCTGGGCGAACAGAACTGGAGCGACAACGACCGAGCACGCCACCAGAACTTTCAACACTGTTGTGCTTTTCCATGGCTCCAGAAGCAAAACGAATGCCAGGGAATAGAGCAAACCTACAGCCGTGAAGCCCAGGTAAATTCCCAAAGTGGGAAGCACGACCAGACTTGCAACTTCAGCACCGATGAGCCCTCCTACCCCATTCGCAGCAAGCAGAAATCCGAACTGCCTTCCTTGTGCATCACCCTCTTGACTGCCCGTCCAAGCAAAGACGATGGGCAAGACCATACCTCCGAAAAATAATGCCGGGCCAACTGTGACGATCGCAATCGCCCAAACCGAAAATAGGAACTCGGTCGTCGTAGCGAGGCGGCCTCCTGACATAGCTGTCAAATGGGCTACGTCAATCAACTGTTCTGTTTGCCGATACAAGAGAAGAGGCGCCAACGCTGTGAACAGCGACGAGGCAACCAGTACACCAAGCAGCCATTTTCGCGGCGAAAGTGCCGCTTGCAAAAAGAAGGGCGTAGCCATGGCTGCGACTGCCAAAAGTAGGATGACAGCTGCTAATACACTGGCAGTTGCCTGGAATGAAGAGGGGACCACCAAGCTAACGATGCGAATCGCTAACACCTCTAAGGCGAGCATCGCCATTCCAGAGATAAAGGCGAATGTGATCGACTTGGGCATGTCAAGGACGGTCGATTCGTCTGCGGCTAGGTGTCGTGTTCTGGCAGGCTTGCGCATCTGCCGCGAATCGGGCTGCAGATGGGGCACGATCTCTTTGCGACTCAATCGCCAGGCAGCGAGTGCCACAACTAGATTCGTGGCGATCGCGACAGCCATACACCCGAAGACTCCTAGCGATTCAAGCAGAATGCCACTGCTGATGAGCAAGCCGAACATTCCGCCGAAGGTATTGCCACCGTAGAGCCAGACACCCTCACGACGTAATGTACCCTTGCGACGCAATACTGCTGCTGCAAAGAAAGGGAGTGTCATTCCCATAAACATTGCCGGGGGAAGGACGACGACGCCACTAAGAACCGTCTTGATCAACGCCCCCTGCCAACTCACGAGTCGCTCTGGGCCAATCAACGGCCAGATCCAATCGCTCCACCAAGGCAGGCAAAGTGCCGGTACAGCCAGCAGCGCGATTGCCAGTTCACTAAACAGCACCGCGCGCCATGGTCTCTCGATTCGGCGGAGCATGAGGGCAGCGAGCAGTCCACCTAGGGAGAGTCCCAGAAAGAAACAACCGAACACTCGCGAGGTCGCTTCGCCTGTGGCACCTAAGAGGTCGACTAGCCGACGTGTCCACAAAAGTTCGTGCGAGAGCGCTGCGGCACCGCTGAGCATCGCGAGAACTAAGGCGATTGGAAATGTAGACTTCATCTTACGCCGGTCATCCCCTCGATGAATTGAGGGGTACTTGCCCTCCGCCAAGATGAAGCCTTAGTCATGGTGAGTTCTCCACATCTTCGTGTTCATTGCTCTCGATGCTAGGCAGAGGGTCGGAATACTGCAACCAAGCATCGGGGCCTTCCGCCATTTCATCATCTGTGAGCAGGCACTCCTCCAGCAGCGATTCAATCACTGGTCGATCAAGATCCATGCCGATGAAGACGATTTCTTGGCGGCGATCCCCGTAGGTGCCCTCAAACTCATCCTGAATACTTGCCAGCACTTCCTCATCTTCTTCGAAGTGTTGGGCCCACTCTTCTCGTGGCACTGCCGCCCACCACAGTCCTGCCACGCCAAGCTGAAACGAAACGCCTGCCTGCGACCACGAATAGACATGGTTATGACGAGAGGCTATCCACAAAAAGCCTTTCGAGCGGATCACGTCCGCCAGGATGCCATCTTGCATGTCGAGTTGATCCCACAGGCGAGCGGCATGAAATGGCTTGCGAGCACGATAGACAAAGCTGGTGATGCCATATTCGTCGGTTTCTGGTTGCTCTTGACCTCGTGGAACTTCAAGCCACCCCGGCTGGGCGCTGGCGTCTTCCATCGAGAACAGGTTTGTCCCAATGATCGCCATCGGGTCAACTTGGCCCCTCACTGTCTCGACGATTCTGGCCTTCGGGTTTAAATTGCGAAGGATACCCAAGAGCGTGACCTTCTCATCCTCGTCGATCAGATCGCACTTGTTCAGTAAGATGACGTTCGCAAATTCAACTTGGTCGGTCAGTAGATCGACGACGTTTCGCTGGTCTTCCTCACTGAGGCCGATTTCACGATCCGTCAGATCGTCCTGCGAGCCAAAGTCTTGTAGAAAGTTACGGGCGTCGACGACTGTAACTGTCGTGTCTAATCGAGCCACGTCAGAGAGGCTCTGGCCTTCCTCATCGGCGAAGGTGAAGGTTTCCGCCACCGGCATGGGCTCACTAATTCCGGTGGACTCGACCAGCAGGTAGTCAAATTTGTCGTTCTTGGCCAATTCTGCCACTTCTTGAAGCAGGTCCTCTCTGAGTGTGCAGCAGATGCATCCATTCGTCATTTCGACCAGTTTTTCCTCAGTGCGACTGAGTGCGGCTTCACCTCCGCGGACCAGCGTGGCATCGATGTTTACCTCACTCATATCGTTAACGATGACGGCAACGCGAAGGTTTTGCCTGTTGGCGAGAATGTGATTTAAGACGGTTGTCTTACCTGCCCCAAGGAAGCCTGAGAGGACGGTAACGGGAAGTCGCTTCATTGTTGATTCCAAAGTAAGAGGAGCTTGGATGTCGGGCTCACTTAAGGGGATACAAGGCAGGCAAAGTTCCGGTGACGAGGCCCCAGAGACCTAGAGGCGCGACAAGAACTGCTGTACCCCCGTACAGGAGAACCAAAGTCCACCTTCAGCCACGGCCGGCGCTAACCGATGCGCGAAGCACATGCTACGCCGCATCACTTGCACATATTACTCTTTTGCAATACCATTGCAACTACTGGTTCGTACACCTACAAGAGCTTGGCAATTGCGGTCCAACGATTCACTGGACCAAGCCGCGGCGAGCCTGAGGCTTCACCAATCCTTGGGTGATCCGCCATCGGTCGGAGCAACATGGATTGGCCGGCGGTTGTTTCGCAACTGGAAAGTAGTCCAGTTGCTGGGGATGAATATATGAGGGCTGGTGGGCACAAGGCTGCCCGCCTCACCGCCCGCCATGCAACCAATAGAAACGGACGCTGTCGAGGATATTCAATGAGTGATCAATCAATTGCACCGAGTCTTTTAGTCGAGAGCTTTGGGCGTCAAGCATGGGCCGATTGGGCAGGCATGCTGGCCTCCGTCGGCTGCGCGATTCATTGTGCCTCACTGCCTTTGCTCATCGCCTATCTCCCCACGCTCGGCCTCGAATGGTTGGCCGCCGAGGGCTTCCACCAGTGGATGGCGGTGATCTGCGTCATTCTGGCGACGGCTGCGTTCATACCCGGTTGGCGAAAGCATCGGAGTTTTATCCCTGCGGGGTTTGGGGTAAGCGGAGTCTTGCTATTAACGATCGCCGCGTATGGCATGGAAAGCGATTGCTGCCCTACTTGCTCGGATGAAGTGACAAAGCCCGCTGCAGTACCAGCCTGCTGCGAAGAGGCATGTGCCGCATGCGAACTCGAACCGCAGGCTCCAACGGTAAAGGTACAGCAGGCCGGCTTTGGCAACATGCTGGCGCCGCTGATGACACCGGTCGGTGGCCTTCTGCTAGTAATTGGTCACATCTCAAACCGTAGAAGGGCCTGTCGTTGCCGAACTACGCACTGCTGCTTGGCTCAGGAAGATTTGGATTCCCAAACATGAGCGCTGCTTACAGATATTCATGTACTCACGCCGGCATCCGTTCGTAAGAGTTCGACACTACAGACTTAGATACAACAGCTCGGTCAGTTCGAGCATCTGAGCTGACCTGAAGCGGTCGACAGAAAGGCAGTCGTATTGCGAGGCCTGCAACTGACTGTGACCTTGTAGAGTTTCAATCGTGAAAGCATTTCGTCGGAAGATAACTCCGTCCTCCTCCTCTCGCACCTGGAGCGAATGGCTCAAGTGGTTGTTGCTCGAAGAACATTCTTCATGGGGCACAACATACCTGGCGATGCTGAAGACTCCCATGTCAGTGCTCCTGTTATCTGCCATGGCTTCCCTCCTTTGTGGGCTATTTGTTGTGCCTCAAGGTTTCGCGTTCTTTGCCGCGCTCTGCGGTGTGATCGTTATTGGGCTTGTGTGGCCATGGGTTGCGATACGAAGCATCAAGTGCGTGGTTAGCTTCTCCGCTCCACGTGGACGTGAGGGTGAGGCATGCACGGTCTATGTCGATGTAACAAACCGTTGGCCCATGCCGGTGTGGGGCCTCACACTTGAAGGCGGCGGACTCGACTCCGGTGATTTTGGGCTGGCTCGCGTCGCAGGCTGGACTCAAACACGTTATCGCTGGAAGTATGTGCCTCGACAACGAGGCCTTTACCCTAATGGCGACTTGGCGCTAGTGACCGAGTTTCCCTTCGGCTTGTGGCGTGCAAAACGTCAAGCGAAGGTCAATGGCACCCTGACCGTTTGGCCACGCACATTTTGGTTGCCCGCCCTGCAATCCACGACTCCGAATGTCAATCGGTGGGGAGACCCTATCGACTCGAAGATCGGTTTCGAAGGAGCCAGACTTACCACCCGAGAGTTTAGGCATGGTGATCGGTTACGCGATATTCACTGGGCGAACACCGCCCGCTGCGATCGTTTGATCGTCAGCGAACGCGAAGGCACCGGGACATTCGAGGCCGTAATTCGAGTGAATGTCGACATGGCCACTCATCGGGGTATTGGACCCGACTCAACGCTCGAGTGGTCACTGCGAATAGCGGCTAGCCTTTGCGAGTCGATCGTTTCCAATCATGGATGCGTCGTAGTCTGGCTAGGAGATCAAAGCAAATCGGCGCTATCGAAGCGTGGCGAACTGGACCGATTGTTCGATTGGATCGCCAGGTTCAATCCTCAAACATCAGAAACAGGAAACTCCGGGCTTATCAGAACCTGGAAAGAGAACAGCAGCCCTACATTTCACATCGCCACCGATCACAGTCCCAGCTTCGGCGATCGTGAAATCGTCTTGGTGACGCAGGGCTTTGAGGGAAATACTGCGACAGTTTGTCCGGAGCGACGAGGATGGATTCTCATTGATTCACCGGACAACGTCGCGACTCAGATGCTGAACGGGTGGCAGGCGACTGTTCGGAGTGGTCGTTATGTCGGGTAGCCGCAGCTTGACCAATCTGACTTTGCTAATGGTCGCGGTGGCATGCGTTTTCGTGCAAACGGCTCTCTACACTCGTCAGTCCACCATTGCTCCGGGTTGGGTGCTGCTCATCGCCTCAGTAGCAGTGGCAGTAGTTTTCGGCTACTGCTTCCAGGGATGCAGTGGGAACCGGAAGGTATTGCCCGGTCTGGTCACTTCGGGACTGGCCGCGCTGCCCCTCTTGTGGAATATCGCAATCGAAAGAATTGGCTTTGGCAGCGATCCCTACGAAGTGCAACTTGCATACATTCTGCGAAACTTGATGCTGGCACTCGCCTCGCGTTGGAATGATCCACGTGCCCTGCGGTGGGCCACGGCCACTAGCCTTTTCTTGGTTCTGTTCGGCTTTATGTGGTCAATCAATCTCTGGACTGCAGGCTTACTGGTAGTCTATGCAACGCTAGGCATCTGGTGGCTGGTCGATTCACACTGGAAAGTGATCGATGTTCAGTCCGCAGCCTCGACTAAGAGTGCCATCCCGTTTCGTCCGGCATTGTTTGCTCTCAGTTTGGTTGCCGTGTTCGTCATCGCCACTTCCCCCGTCGGCGGAAAGCTTGACGCGACCTCTGCACTGAATGGTTTCTTCCCGAGTTCCGGAGGGACCCGCTACCACGACGCCCGAGCGGTCGGCGGAGTGGGCGATGGCGACCAGATGGTCGCTGCCAAAGAGCAAGCTTCGAGTTTTGGGCCCATCGATAGCGAGCTTTTTCTGGAATCGAAGATGCCGAGTCTCTACGACATCGCCAATGAGTTTTCCGAAGGAGTACCACTCAAGGCGAAGCGACCACGTCGCGCGATTCCTCTAGCGATTACACAGGTTCAGCAGAACCATCAACGTCGGGGGACTACAGATAAGCCTACCCGCGAGTTTCAGACCATTCGTCAGCGGACGAAGTCAAGGGTAATCTCGAAAGACCTGAAATCTCATGCCTTACTACTGGTCCGGGGCCCCACCCCACAGCATCTCGGTCTCGAAGTCTACGACCATTGGGATGGGCAATCCCTGATTTCGAAGGGGCCAACCGACCCCTTGAAAGTAAGGCTCGATCCCCCAGACCAAGGTAGAGGACGCTGGCTCCGCCTGCTGAGCGAACTTCCAGGCCGGCTATTTACTCAATCGATCCTAACGCAAGTGCGTATTGTGAATCTCCGCACCGAGCGGGTTCCTACTCCGGCAAACACCACGGCCGTGACAATCGACGGCCTGCACGCGGCTTCGATCTTCACCTTTGCCGACGATGGCTCGTTGGCGATGAACGTAGACTTCATCCCGCAGTTGGCAATCCTGAACTTCGAGTCGTCGCTTCGAGATCGCTCAATAGCTCCTGAGCTCCAAAGAGGCGCAGGATCGCAAGGCAACCCCAAGGTTGTCGCTTTAGCAGAAGCTTGGACGATAGGCTCGCAACGCGGCTGGCCGCAAGTCGAAGCAATCATTCAGCGATTGCGGTCTGAATACACACATGACCCACTTGCTGAGGTTCCCGAAGACACGACCGACGCCGTGGAGCACTTCCTGCTTGAGTCCAAGCGAGGGCCAGACTACCTGTTTGCAGCATCTGCCGCAGTGATGCTCAGCGGGCTTGGCTACGAGACCCGAGTGATCAGTGGGCTCTACGTGAACCCAAAAAACTATGAACGCCTGACAGACCTTACTGCGGTCTTTAAGGAAGACCTTCATTTCTGGCTAGAGGTGCGATCCAGTGAGGGCCGCGAGTTTACCGAAAACGGTGAAATCGACGGCGGTAGCTGGATTACCCTCGAGCCCACACCGGGTTACGAGTTGCAATATGCGCCAGAGACTTTCTGGGCCTGGGTCGTTCGCCAGTCGGGAAATGCCTACCAAGCGATGATCGCACACCCGATCGCTACGTTGCTCTGGATGGTCACGTGCGGTCTTGTTGTCTACCTGCGCCTGGCGATTGGTGAACTAGTCCTTCTCGGCTGGTGGTGCCTTTCTCACTTTGTGGGCGATGTAGGGTATTTAGGCCGCTCAACCTTGCTGCTAATTGAGCGGCGCGCCAGGCTTCGGAAATGCCCACGCCCACAAGGCGTCCCATTCGTGCGTTGGGAGGTACTCGCAGGTCAAGACGACTTCCTTCAGCTCGCGGCTTGGTCGCTCTACGGCGATGGGCTCGCTGCACCCTGCAGTGTGAAGGAAGCTCGGACTGCTTGCGCCAGGGTAGCCCGCATGAGAATTACGAAAGCGCAACATGAATCACAAACTCCACGGCATAAAGGATCCTGATGAACGGATTGGTCACCCCATCAACCAACGCCAGCGCACACGACCATGAGTCGGTCGACCGACTTCGGGCGTCATTAAACGGCGCTCTCCGCGGGAAGCCGGACGTCGCAGAGATGGTCCTGGCGTGCCTTCTGGCTCGCGGGCATCTTCTGCTGGAGGACTTGCCAGGGCTGGGCAAGACGACCCTTGCCAAAGCGCTCGCGCTTGCAGTGGGCGGAACATTCGCACGGGTGCAATGTACTCCCGACTTAATGCCTAGCGACATTACCGGATTTAGCATGTTCAATCAGAAAACACGCGAATTCGAATTCAATGAAGGGCCGGTCTTTTCAGACGTTTTACTTGCTGACGAGATCAATCGAACGACTCCCCGAACTCAGAGCGCCCTCTTCGAGGCCATGGCCGAACGGCAAGTGACTATTGACCGAGTCCATCGCCCGCTACCGAGCACTTTCTTTGTCATTGCAACTCAGAACCCCATTGAAAGTCATGGCGCCTACCCTCTCCCGGAGGCCCAGCTCGATCGCTTCGCCGCGAAACTATCGATCGGGTACCCCGATCGAGAAAGCGAGCTTGAACTACTGGAAGCGGATTCCAAAGGACAGCTTGGCACTGATGAGGTGAAACCGGTTCTCGATCCTGCTTCGCTTTGCAGACTGCAGCAGCGAGTTATGCAGACAGTCGTGGGTGAGAAGGTGCGGCGATACCTCGTCGACCTGGCCCAGGCGACGCGCACCGACAGCGAGATTGACGTGGGCCTTAGCCCACGCGGATTGATCACCTGGCAGCGCGTTGCTCAGTCCAGGGCATTTCTGCGGGGTCGCGATTTCGTTAGCCCTGAAGATGTGCAAGACGTCGCGACTCCGGTCCTCGGTGTTCGACTCTTGGGCAATTTCTCATCGTCTGATGAGATCGTTTCGAGACTGCTCGAGGAAATGCCCGTCCCTACGACATAGTGAAGATCAATCACAGGAAAGCGAGAGAAGATGTATAAACTGACGACTGCCTTAACAATTATTGCATTCATGTTCATCACGACGTGTGGTTGCAGTGACACAGACAAGCCAACAGAGAATTCTTCACACAGCCACAGCCATGAACACGGGCATACACACGATCACCCAGATCGTCCCGAATCACTCCAGGCTGCGGTAGATAGCATCCAAACAATCAATGTTGAGATTCGAGACGCAATCCAGTCGGGGAACATTGATGAAGCCCACGAGTTGCTACACGAAATGGAACATCTGGTCGATGAGCTTCCCGACGTCGCGGCCGATACTGATCTCACTGAGCAAGACTGGAAAGAGATTCAGAAAGCGTCCGAGCAACTGTCGGAGGCTTTCGGCAAGCTGGACGAAAGCTTCCACGTAGAAGACAGTGATCCCCAGGCCGTCTACGACGGGGTCGCCGAATCAATCGACTCCGCGGTTGAACAAATCTCGCAGCGGATTCCTGCAGACGCCGACGTTCCAGCAACTGGCAATAGTTCGTCCGAACACGACCATGGCCAGGACGAACCTAATGAGGCTTCTCCAGAAGAGCATTCGGACGGGAGCGACACCTAATGATGAGTTCCCTAGACGCCATACTTTGGGGCGGTATGCTCCGTTTCGGTCAAGCAACCTTGGCGGGCGCGCCAACATTTCTGGTTGGTCTCATCGTAGCTGGCGTGTTCCGAAAGCTGCTCGGCCCCGAGGCAACGCTTAAAGCATTCGGCGGCAAAACATGGTGCAGCCTACCGCTGGCATGGGGCTGGGGCATGTTGCTGCCGGTATGCTCACTCGGTGTCATCCCAGTCGCTTACGAGCTACGTCGGTCGGGACTTTCGGGAGGCTCGATCATGGCCTTCGCCCTTACTGCACCGCTATTCAATCCACTTTCGCTGCTCTACGGACTGACACTCTCATCGCCGGCGGTTTTGATGGCATTTGCGGTAGCCTCATTGTTGGTCGTCACAACAGTAGGGTTCGTCTGGGATTATTTGTTTCCAGGTTCGGCACTGCCCCCCGCCGAGGACCCACCGACCCCTCCAGGGCTTGGTCGCCTCGCTTCCGTAGGCGTTGTCGCTGCTCGGTATGCATGCGGCCCGTCCCTGATCTACTGTGGAATTGGCTTGGCTGGAAGCATCCTCTTAGTTGCCATCTTCCCCTACAGCAGCCTCACCGATTCAATGGCCCACACCGACCCTATGGCGCCGCTGCAAATGCTGCTGGTTGCCATTCCAGCATATGCCACACCACTGAACGTCATGATGCAAGTAGGCGGCATGTTTGTTCATGGAAACTCCGTGGGCGCGGCGTACGTACTTCTGGCATTGGGGGCTGGAGCAAATCTAGGCCAACTCGCTTGGGCCTATCGAATGTATGGCCTCAAGCAAGCGACCGCCTTTCTGGCAGTCTTCGTTGTCGTCGTCACAGCCATCGCATACTCAATTGAAGACCCGCTCTACTCGGCGGGAGAAGTTGATCATCCGCACACGCACGCCTTCGATGTTTATGCCTGCCCTTATACGGGCAATGGAAGTGACCTCGCATCCAAAGCGTGGACAAAGATCAGGGAAGACGCCCGCATGTATGAAGTGGCGGGCTTGGCTGGAGTTTGCTTCCTAATAGCTGTCGGGGCTGTACTACGCGTGATGGATCCAGAGAACCAGCTTGATTCGAAGCTCGCTAGCTGGGGAGAACGACAAAGGTCCGACACCGAATCGGTCTTCCACGCCGATCTCCCTGGTCCCGTACTTGGGGCTGTGAGCTTGATTGGGCTTGTCGCCATGAGCGTCGCAGGATGCTATGTCTTCTACCCTGCTCCGGAAGACACGCTTCAAGACCTGCAGATCGTGAAAGCAGATGCATTGACTTATGCCTCGAGCGGAGATGTCGAAAATGCCGTTAAAAGCATCGAACGCTATGACGATCTGACTCGGAAACTACAAGTTGGCTATTACCTGAGAAATTTCGAATTAAGCGAATTCCAGCAAGCCAGAGCGCGTGTGCTTCGGGGCCGCCTAGAGCGACTCAAAGACTTGCTCGAAGCCGAGCATGATTTCGATGAAGTCCGTGACTCCAACTGGGAAATATCCGAGTCACACCGCCGAGTTCGTGAAGCCTTTACGCCGCAAGAGGACTAAAGACGCCGCTTGAGTACTGCAACTCCGTAGGGGGCATGGGGAGTCTTCAAGCGACTCCGCTTAGCACTACGAACAGTGCGTGCAGTGGCCTTTGTATAGGACTTCTGTGACATCGCCGATCAACTCTTTCCCTGCTCGCTTGACTGCGGCCGGAGTAGTGGGCTGTACACCCGGCAGGCAAGACACCTCGCCGCAATCTATGCAAACAAAGTGTGCGTGCCCAGCTTCCGAATCGACTCCCCCCCGCCACTCAAAACGGTAGACATGATCGCCTACTTCCAGCCGTCGAACTAAGTCGACCTCGGCCAAATCGTTTAGGTTCCTGAACACGGTTGTTTGATCCGTGCCAAGCGAATCAAGCGATTTGGCAACTTCCGCATGTGTGAGCGGCCCCGCGGCTCGCACTAGCACCTCGCAGACCGCAATGCGTGCAGGCGTAGCTCGAAGGCCTTTTTCGCGAATTAGAGAGCGCACATCCATCTTCTTTTTGCGACTCATTTCTGTCGTCTCCCGACCAAAAGGCGACTGGTACCCGAGATCCTCGCATCGCATGTGTAGGGCAAATACCGTCACAATCCTACTGCACATTACTTGCAAATGCAATCCCGAAGAAAGCGACGTTTGGCCGCAGTTTCAATTAAACAGCAATTACTGGGTAGGGCTCTTGCAGTACGATTGCATTTAACTAAGATGCCGACATGCACCTGCATAAGTTTTGCATCTATGTTTTTTGAGACGGAGGAAGTTCTAATGAGGGTTTTTTGCGTGCTATCTGTTGCAGCCACCCTGCTCGTGACCACTGCGGACACCGCCCATGCGGTACACACGGACATCGAGTTTTCTTACGAAAGCGGAATGGTTGCTGTCGCGTTTGGACCAGAAGGGTACGTGTTTGAAGGGGATTTTAGTGATTTCCCCAATCCATACAGCACCGACGATCCTGGCTATGGGTCAGAAGTATCCGAAGGTTTTGGAATCGACCCTAGTGATGTGATTGCTTTCAATGTTGTAGGTCCGCTCTTGTACCACAACGGAACAGCATTTGCCGCAACCAGCGAAACATTCACTTTTCACGACGCGCTTGGATCGGACGTAGACGTAATGAGTTCTACGTTGTCGGGTTTTGGTTACGTCGGTCAAGCTAGCGGAACGGGTGATTTCCACGAACACATCGATTACTCGATTACGACCACCGCTCCTGTAGGTGCTTACGGCGTGCCAATCACACTATCTGCACTGAATAGCTCATTGGCTCCTAAAGGAATCGCTGATTCTCTAGAGTTCTATCTGGTCTTCAATCGCGGACTTGATTCAGAAGAATTCGAAACTGCCGTCAGCGATTTCGCAGTAGCCGTTCCAGAACCGGGAACTGGTCTACTCCTTTTCATCGGCGGAGCCTTGTGTGGCCTCGCGGTATGGAAAAGGAAACGTAACCTCAGTCCAGTCTCTTAAGGATAATGCCTCCCGGGGCTGCTTGGTCGCACAAGGGCGGCCAAGTAGCCCGTAGGAGCTATAGCGATTGGCCCCAACTGTGCACTGAAGCTGCTACAAAGCCCCCGAAGCTGACCCAACATGAGATTGGAACAAATCAGAATGTGCGTCACAGGCCTCTCGACAGATACCGCACTCATTGAAGGTCGACGAGTAACTTCTTGACATGTGTGGCTGCAATACTGAGTGATCTCAGCCTTTGCGTATTCAGCAATCTATTCATTGTTTATCTTTGCACAGGCCCTAAGAAGCAGGTCAATAGAGTTGACCCGAGGCTATGCTACGCCAGGAGCCGCCTAGGAGACGGGAAGAGTTACTCGGCGGGAAGTATCGACCGGCCGATGGCGGCGTCGAAGTTGACCTGGGCTTTGTAGAACTCAAGCAGGGCGTCGACTTCGGTTTGGGCCGCGTCTGCTGTGGCTTGTTCTCGCAAGTTCACAACCAATAAGTCGCTCGTTCCTAAATCAAACTTGCGCTGTTCGGCTGCTTCCATTCGAAGGTTAAGTTCTACGGCTTCCTTCGCCTGTCGCACTTGGTCCATCGCAGTCGTGAGCGCAGCAATCGAGTCGCGGACCTCAACGGTGATCTTATCGCTGGCGAATCGGCGTTCGGCGTTGAGTTGAGCCAGCTTGCCCTGGGCGACTTGGATGCTGCCGCTGGCGTATCGACGCTGCAGGGGCACATCGGCCAACACCGCGGCCTCGAGTTCGAAAGGACGCTTATCGCCTTTGGGGCTGGCACGGGGGCCAATATCTTTCGAGGCAACTAGTCCAACCGACAGTCCAGGCAACATCTGATTTCTTGAGTTGGCCAGTTCAATCTCAACCTCTTGCGCGGCGAGGGAGATTTCCAGAAGCTCCGGACGCATCTGGAGCGCGATGCTAATCGCATTGTCGAGCACCACGACGTCGGGCAACTCGGGAGGGTGAAATGACTGAGGGAGCAATCCAGGTACCGGCACCCTCGGAACTCCATCTGCAGAGCGGAGCCAAAGCGAGAGCTTGATTGCCGATTGCTGTAGCTTCCTGTCAGCTTGAATCAGCTTCGCCCGCCGGGAAACGATGAGCCGCTGATTATCAACCACTTCGATTTCGGCCAAATCACCCCGTTCAACCCGTTTCCGGATGCCTTCGTCACGATCTACCGCGATGTCGAGCAACGTTTGGGCCACACGGTAGCTCTGCCCTGCAGCCACCCATTCCCAATACGCATGCGATCCATTTCGAACAAAATCAATGATCTGAGTCTGAATCGCTGGCTCGACAGCCCGGAGTGCGACCTGGCTCTTGAGCACGTCTGCACGCTGTTTGTCGATGGCACGCCCTCTGAGTAGAGGTGCCGTAATTCCGAGCTTGAATTCACCCGACTTATCTGTTTCGCGTTCGCCGTACCAAGGCTCGAACAAGCCTCGCCCGATTCGATACCCTCCGAAGACCTCTGCGCCGCCCCAGGTTTTTTGTTTTGCCTCGATCCCTTGGCGATAGTTTTGATAGAAGCCCATCGGTTCTTCGATTGCACCAACGTTCAGGTCAGTGTCGAACTTGCCCCAAGCCGCGAGTTGCTGGCCTGCTGCGACTTCGCGTTGGCGATAGGCAATTTGCAGCAGCGGGAATGTGGCGTAGATGGAATCCACCACGTCATCCAACTGTAAGGCATTCTCTTCCTGATTTGGAGTGGGAAGTTCCTCTATGTCTATGTAGCCATCGACCACTGGCGCCTGGAGCGACGCCGGCTGAACGTTCTGATCGTAAATGGCACTCGGCACAGGGCGAGCCGCGTGGCCTTGCTGCTGAGGCAGAAGCTTCGGCGGCCCTGGTAGATTTGCCCCTTCGCGAATCTCCGAGGCGGGCGGCAATCGCCAGAGTTCTGATTGAGGCGAGCGCGCAGCGCCAGGCTCATCTGCTAGCAGCAATCGCGCAGAGGCGATGCAGGCCAGTGATAGCAAGGCGAGAAGCCGCATTGATATAATTACTTGATGAGTTTGCGTTTTGGGAGATCTTTTCCGGATGCATCTTTCTTCGGCTCTGACGAAGAGATGACCGGAGGAAAACCGTTCAACTGCCGCCAAGCTTCGTAGCCCAGCTTCACCTGGCTTAGCAAAACCCAACCATTAGCGCGGACGCCTTGCCGTAGATAGCGATCCGATGGCCAATCGGCGCCCTTATCCGGTAGCACAAGAATCCGGAACTGCCCAAGACCGTTGTCGGTAGCATCAACGCTGGCAACCGTGCCACCAAAAGTACCGACAGCAACCGATGGCCACCCGGCGAACTGAACGGCCGGCCAACCTTCGAACTGCAGACGTACATGCCGGCCCTCAGTGACCAGTGGAGCATCGTTGCCAGAAAGCCAGATCTCAACGGCGCGCTGTGCCGTTTCAGGCACTATAGTCAGTAGGGGATCGCCCGCCTTCACGATATCGCCACCTTGGTTGGCCAGTAGCCTGAATACAGTACCGTCGCGCGGAGCGACAACGGTTTGACTCTGCTGGCGTGACAGCTTGACTTCGGCATCGGTTTGCTCTTTCTTGGCCAAGGCAACTTCACTGAGCGCCTTTTGGTACTCGGCTTTTGCAGTATCAATTTTTGCTTTTGCTTCGCGTTCCTTCTGCTTGGCCTCGGCTTTTTTCGACTCCAGCTCGCGTTCTGCGGAGCGCAGGTATGCTTGCGCCTGCTCGACCTTTGATTCGGCCTCTTTCTGGGACCGCTCGGCAACTTCATAGGCGAGTTCCGACGCCAGGCCATCCTCATTTAGGAGCTGCTGGCGTTTCCAGTTGGCCTCCGTCTGCTGTTCAGCAGCCTTGGCTGCCTCCAACCCCTGAATTTCAGCTTCGACTTTTTCTTTGGCCATTTCTACTTGCTTTTCAACAGCCTCGATCACACTTGTCTGTGCCTCCTCAAACGCGGTGACTTTGCCGCGGTAGGCCTCGACCATAAGCTCCGCGGCCTCTACCTTTTGCTGCGACGCGCTTAGCTGATCTTCCAAGCGACTTACCAGTGAGGGATCAATGTCGCGAATCTCAACGATGAACTCTCCTTCAGACAGCTTTGCGCCTTCGAAGAGCTTTTCGTTCCACCTTACAATTCGTCCGGAGATTGGCGATTCAACGATCTGCTGCCGCTGCAACGGCGCATAAGCGACGACCTTCCCCGTACCAGAAACCGTCTGTTGCCACGGAGCAAACAGCATGGCGATTACAGAAAGCACCAGCAGGAGAAGCAAAAGCTTTCCTAGGCGGCGTGCACCAACTGGCGTCTCGACTAGACGTAGCGCAGGCAAAACCACGTCCGGCTGGGCCACTTCCATTTCCGTGCCGGCTGGTTTCGCTTCGGTTCGCTTCAGTAAAGTTGCCATGCGGGTAATGACTCAATAAGTACTGAAATGTGACTGCTATCTCTCAAATCGACCTGACTGCAGAGTCTAAGTAAACCGATTCTCAATTAGCTCGTTTGCAGGTGGTTGTCTATGGCTGGTAGCCGGATTTCACGATCGCATTGCACAGCGATCTGATTTCTCCCGGTCGCCACAAGCAGCGTCCAGGGATTGTCTTTGTCGGTAATTCTTGGCAATAAGCTTGCCAGTTCTTCGTCGGAAATCGAATCGAGTAGTCCGTCGATCAAGAGCAAACGAGGCCTTCCTGCGATCGCTCGGGCAAGTGTCAAGCGAATAGACTGCGAGCGGGTCAGTGGGAGTGCTCCACTGGTCAACTCCTGCTCGAGCCCCTCGGGCAGTGCCAAAATTTCTTCCAGCATGTTGACGGTGGACAGTGCTTTTCGGACATCTTCGATACTGATGTCGGGATGATGCATGTGAACGTTCTCTGCAACAGTGCCCTGGAACACCTCAACGTCGCGAGCAAGCGTCATTCGTTCGCGCACGGAATCGCAACGGAGTTCCTTCAGGTCAATTCCATCAAACTCGATTCGGCCTGTGGTTGGTTGACGAAGATCGAAGATCAGATCCATCAGCGTGCTCTTACCACAACCTGAAGGACCAACAACGGCAACGCGTTCAGAAGGTTCTAATTGCATCTCGAGATGTTCGATGCCCCGCCCGCTATTGGGAAAGTGATAAGACATATTGATCACCTTGAGCGATGCAGGTGAGTCGTTCCGCGGATGGAGGTACTCGTCGTGCGATTCGACGGGCAGATCGAACAGCTTGCCGAGTTTGTCGACCGAAGCTAACAAGTCGTAAAAGTTCTCCAACGGCTTACCCATCTTGGCAAAAGTTCCGACGATCGCGGCTACGATGAGTTCGGCCGCAACCAATTGGCCGAGGGTCAACTGTCCGGAAATGACCAACCATCCGCCCAACCCTAGCAGGACCGTGCTTGCGACAACCTGCAGCCCCAGTGCTAGAACGATCTGCCGCAACAAGATTCGGAAGTGGCTTTGACGATCAATCAAATACTTGTGCGTAAGCTGGTCTGCTTTGTCGAGCGCGAACTCGCCACCACCAAAGGTGCGAAACGCGATAGGATTGCGAACTAAATCTTCCAGCCAGGCTCCAATTGAGTATTTAGTCTTCGACTCTTCCACCGAAGTCTTCACGGCGTTGCGACCAAAAACGAAGATGACTATGCCAAGCAAGATGAGTAAGAACACATCAAACCCCAACAGGAAGGGGTGATAAAACGCCAAGACCGACATACCGATCGCAGTCTGCAGAACGATCGCTACACCGTCCAAGAGTAGTGAGGAAGCCGTCTTTTGAACGGTTGCAATGTCAAAAAAGCGATTCGCGAGTTCAGGACCGTAGTAATGGTCTAGAGCCTCGCGCCGCGCACGAGGCAGTCGGAAGGCAAGGTCGGCCACAACTCGTACGAACATTCGCCGCTGAATCAATTCCACTACATAAGTCTGCACAGCAATCAGGGCAGCAGCAAAACTGAGGAAGATGAACAACAGAATCGACAGTACAACTATCGGCTGTAGCAGCTGACCAAATGCGACTGTATTTACCAGCGCCTCAACGGCGATTGGGGTCGCTAACGCTAACACGCCCACGAACAAAGCGAAGACAACGATCATCGCTACATCGCCACGCTCGGGGCGGAGTAGTTTTAGTAGACGTGAGAACGGGCTAGGAGGATCGTGCGAATCGCTAGCAACTGTTTGGCATGTGAGGGTCGGCTGAGCGATCAACCACTGCACCGGTGCATCGGCTGATTCAACTCCGAGACGTTTAGCGAATTCGTCTACGTGAACCCAACGCTGCTTCTCCTCGTTCAGACCTTGCAATACCCGATTCCCCGAGGAGCCGGTCAGGATGCACCACTCAAAGGTTGATTCGCTGCCGCTGGAATCGGTAATGATTGGCGCACCATGCCGGAGTAGCTTTTGCGCTTCACGAACCGAGCACGTAATTTCTTTGAACCGAATCCCGAGCGATTCCCCGACCTCGAGTAGTCTTTTGGGCCTCAAGCGCCGATCATCTCCAGGCCAGGTCCGCACGGCCTCTGCCAATGAACGCTTCGCGAGCAGGCGATCGAAATAGATGCCCGCGGCATTGCAGACTCCTTCGAGCACTGCCAGCGTGTCGCGCATTTGGTTTGATTCATTCATGGCTTGAGGCAACTACTTCAGAACTTAGATAATGTCTGTGTCTCTCGACCTTGGCTCTCGTACCTTAGCGCTCAGCGGGATGGCTGCCAGCTAAACTCTAGCAACCTGCTGACCACCCGGCTGGCTCGCTGAGCGGCCTCAGCCCCGGCTTCAGCCAGCCCATGTGCCCTGCCGCTCACTTCCGTGGCGCTTCCGTCTTGAAAGTGCACTGCAACGTTACACTCTTTCAACTCCCTTACTCCGCAGGAGGGGGTAGGACCTAAAGTAACGACCAGTCGTGTTATTCGGGGGGAGTAGCGAGTTAACGCCAATCGCAACTTCCGCTCGATGGTCTCCTTCACCTCCTCGTCGCCTTCTACTGTTTCAGCTGCAAACGAGATACGCATCAGATCCGCCGTGTTTGGGTCATTTCAGGTGTACAGAGTATATATACGGCGAATGCACCTGTTTGAAAAAGCAGATAATATGACTATCACCCGTAGAAAAAAGCTACGTATAATATTGGCATGACCTGGCTCAACTACCATCACTTGCTCTACTTCTGGACCGTGGCCCAGGCTGGCTCAATCGCTCAAGCCGCGGAACAATTGCATCTTGCCCGTCCCACGGTCAGCGCCCAGTTAAAGCAATTGGAGAAGGCGCTCGGCGACCAGCTCTTTGATCAGGTCGGAAAGCGCTTGGTGTTAACCGACTTCGGTGAACTCGTCTTCCGCTACGCAGACGAGATCTTCACCACAGGCAATGAACTACAAGAGGCGCTCCGAGGAAATCTCCCATCGCGTCCCTCGAAGTTTGTCGTAGGTATCCCAGATGTTCTGCCGAAGCTAATTACGTTTCGCTTGTTACGACCCGCCCTTGAGATGCAGGACACGGTGCATCTGGTCTGCAACGAGGGCAAGCTCGACGATCTATTGGCAGATTTGGCGGTTCACCGCTTGGACCTCGTTCTGGCCGATGCCCCCGTGAGCCCGACCGTCAATGTCAAAGCCTTCAATCACCTGCTTGGCGATTGTGCTGTCACGGTGTTTGCCACGCCCGAGATTGCACGTAAGTACCGGAAAGGCTTTCCCCATTCTTTGAACGGCGCACCCATGTTGTTGCCTGCGGAGAAGACATCTGTCCGGCGGTCGCTCGACCAATGGTTCCAGCTAAACGATATCCATCCTCAAATTGTCGCCGAATTTGAGGATAGTGCACTGCTGAAAGTGTTTGGCCAATCAGGGCTAGGGTTGTTCCCGGCACCCACGGCCATCGAAAAGGAAATCAAACAGCAGTATCGCGTCGCCTCCGTCGGTCGACTTGATGAAGTTCGCGAGCGGTTTTACGCAATCTCCGTGGAACGGCGGATTCGGCATCCAGCAGTTGTTGCCATATCCGACGTCGCCAAAGAAAGCCTCTTTAACTGATAATCCATTCAGAAGTGGTGCACAATCTCTCCGCTGCTTGAGCCGAAAAGACGGAGCTGATCACACGACTGCATCGTGAAGCTTCGCCCACCAGCGGCTAGAAGTCTTCTCGATACCCAAGGGCACCCTATCGATCCTGTCCCTCGGGCTCGCCAGGAAAGTCTGAGACTTCGATAGTGTGCATCGCATTTGCGTACCCCATGCTGACGAACTCCCCACGTTCTCCAACGACTACGCACAGCCCCCCTCCATCGGCTCGATCAAGAATACCTATTTCTGTTTCGTGGCGTACCGACCAAATTCTGGTTGTCGAATCGAAACTGGTTGAGATCAAGCAATCGCCGGGAGTAAAGGCAACCGCTCTCACTGGGCCTTGATGCCCTTTTAGTTCAGCGGCAAGCGCTAGTGTGGGAAGTGACCAAAGACGGATGATTCCATCATCGTGACCAGTTGCGAGCACCTTTCCAGAATGGTCAAAACAAGAGCACAAGGTAATGCTGGGCGTGGGAACGTTTTGAATTTGCTCGAGGCTTTCGGCCGCAATCAGGTGGAGCCCCGTCAAATCGGTAGCACCAAGCAAGTAACCTCCATCATTAGAATACGTACATCCGTAGACTTGCCCATCTTGAAGGCCGTCAAGTGACAACGTGGCTTTCTTCTGGCGAGCTGTGATGTCGAAGACCGTGAGATCGCCAACCTCATCAATCACGGCGAGCCTCTCATTGGATGGTGAGAAGCAAAGATCTTTGGCTTCTATATCTATTGAAAATGTATCGACCAACAAACCGGTGGTCACCTCTCTGATCTGTACGGTATTCTGCCCCCGAAACGCCAAACCTACAAATCGGGAGTCACGGGTAAAGGCGACTTTATCACCTTCTGTATCTCCGCTTATGTCAAAGATACTCTCACCCAAAGCGTTGAGCATTCGAAAGGGCGAACGGCGATTTGAACACGCGATGGCATGGCCGTCGGGGGAAATGTCCAGGATGAGTAAATCACGAAAATCACGATCCGACGAGCGGAACTCGAAGTATCGGCCTAGGTCGTGACATGCAATCTTCCCATCGGTCGAACAGGTGAGTAGACATGTATTCGAAGCGAACTCTATGTCGTTGACTTTACCTTGGTGAGCTTCAATGATCTGCGGACGACTGGATTGCTCGAGATGGCCCTGTTCTTTACTCGTCAGCCTCCAATATCCGATTGTGCCATCACTGTATGCAGACGCCAGAGCTTGACTATTGGGAGAGATTGCCAGTGAGTTCACTCGATCCCTAGACTGCAATAGCTTCAATAGAGAACGCCCTGATACAGGCTCAATGATATCGATGGGATAATATGCCGTACTCCCACAAGTTGCGTAATAGCTTCCATCTGGTGCACAACTGGCAAGCGTATAGTTGCTGATCCATTCGTCATTACTTTCCATGTAATTGACAGGATTCTTGAAAGTGGCAACGTCCCATTCGCGTATGAAGCCATCTTTTCCAGTCCAGTCTGGAATTGCTTTACGGCTCGGCACGATTAATCGTTTGCTGTCGGGCGTGAATTCGAGTGACTCATGTCGCGAAGTATCTTCGATTTCTTTGACCAGATCCCCATCACTTGTAAATACTCTCACGCAATCGTAGCGCGAGCCCACGGCAATCATTGCACCGTTGGGTGAGTAGGCGATTGACTGGACGTTGTAATCGAAGCTGGTCAGTTCACGTTTCAGCTCTCCACTCTCAACATCCCACAGCAAGACCACGTCACTCCCTGTGGCCACAGTTTCGCCGTCTGGCGAGACCGCTACGGAGAAAACCGGCTCGACACTCGAGTCCCCCATTGCAATTTCAGAAAGCAGCCTCCCCGACTCGATCTCCCAGATACGAAGCTTTTTGTCGTCACCAACGGATGCCACGCGAAGGCCATCCGGAAAGACTGCAATCTGGTTGACGGAGCCATCATGGGACCCAACCAAGGTTGCTGGCGGCTGTTTCGAAAGAGAATTGAGCAGGTGCCAGGCATAACCTCGGCGGTCAGCCGAGCTGTGCTCTGGAAGGTGTCGATGAAGCAGCTCTTGCGAAAGCTCTGGCCGGTTGCCATTCCAAACTTGGTATGCCCGTTGGATGTCCGCGAGGTAGAGCAGTTCTTCCACTCGTTCGGCGCGTTCTTCCGCCAGGCCAAGCGCGGTCTGAGTTTGCTCTTTCGCCTGCCACACCAGCCAGGTTGAAGCCAATAGTACGACGCAGAGCGCCAGCGAACTAAGCGAGAAAGTGGCGGCAAGGCTCGGGTGCCGAAGCGCCCACTTCATGCACCGTTCTAACGTTGAGGGCCGACGAGCGCGAATAGTCTGTCCCGCGGCGAACCGCCTTAGATCCTCCGCAAAATCGCCCGCCGTCTGGTAGCGATCTTGAGGCTCATCAGACATTGCCTTGAGCAAGATCGTCTCAAGATCGACCGGTAAGTGTGCATCCGTCTGCCGCAGCGCACGTGGCGGCATTCCCTTGCCTCGGCCAGGACCTTGCCCGCTTACATGGTCGAATGGCTGGTTTAATGTCAGAAGCTCGTAAAGCGTTGCCGCCAAGGAGAAGACATCAGAGCGGGCATCAATCAGCCGGGTACCAGACCGCTGCTCAGGGCTCATGTAGGCAAGTGTTCCGAGCACGTCACCATCAGCCGTGATCGATTCGCTCTTGTCGTTGTGGGCCAGTCCGAAATCAGTTACCCAGAGCTTGCTGTTCTCATCGAGAAGTAGGTTGCCTGGCTTGATATCGCGGTGCACGATGCCATGATCGTGCGCGTATTGCAGCGCCGACGCTGCTTGAATGCCTAACTCGGATACGGCACGGTAGAAAGCCGTGCGATTGTCGGTTTGCAAAGAACTGCTCAATAGCGCGCGAGAACGGTCTTCATTACCACGCGGGGTGTTCCCATGGGCTTTGAATGGCAGCGTGCCACGACTGATGCTGGTTTCAAGCCGCCCGTCGCAGGAGTTCCTCAGACTCTTGATCGCCTCTGCAAGGCTCTGCCCTTCGATCAGTTGCATCGCGTAGAAGTGTACCCCACGTTCCTGACCGACGAAGTGAATCGGAACAATGTTGGGGTGTTCTAACGTCGCTGCAGCTCGCGCTTCGTTCTGAAAACGCTTGCGGTGTTTCTCATCCAGTAGTGCCGCAAAGGGGAGCACCTTCACTGCAACCCGGCGGTCGAGCGAAAGCTGAATCGCTTCATAGACGACTCCCATTCCACCGCGCCCGATGGGTCGAATCAGTTGAAAATCCCCGAGAGTGGATCGCTGGCCAACCGGGTCGACCGCCAGTGGTTCCTCCTCTTGCACTGCGAACTGGCTTGTAGCCAAGTGCAAAAACTCAAGCGCTTCGAGCTGCTCTTCCAGCTCTTCCCGAATCTCGGGGTGATCGGCAGTAAAAGAGTTCCGGTTGGGACGAACCCCAGTTTCCAACTGAAGCAAGAATTGCTCCATGGCATCTTGGAGTTGCCGGTCCCTTGCCCCATCTTCTACCGGCGTCGCGTTGTCGCTGTCCGATTTCTGCATCAGACCTGTCCAGCGTCTAACTGCTTTCGTAGAAGAGCGATTGCCCGTCGCCAGACAGCTTTCACCCCGTCGACTGTTTGCTGAAGCTCACTGGCAATCTCCTCAAAGCGTTTTCCTTGTAGATGCCGTTTGACGAGAACCTCTCGGTAGTGTTCCGGCAGTTCTGCCAGGGTGTCGGCCAAGATCACCGCCTGTTCTCGGCGGATGGCACTCCGACTGGGTGAATCGGTTGGGGAGACCAGTGCCGCGGTCCAATGGAACGACGACTGATTGACGTCCTGATGGTACTCAAGTTCCCGCTTATAGTTTCGCCCCTGCGTCAAATACCGTCGGGTCTCCATTGCAATCTGCGAGCACAAAATCTTGCGAAGCCATGCGATGAGTTCTCGTTCCTGAGAGCCAACAAAGGCACCAATATTCTTCTGCGCCTGCATGAACGTGGCCTGAACCATGTCCGACGGGGAGAACTTCTGTTGCAGTTCAGGGTCTATCTGCAGAGATGCATTGAGATACAGATAGTTTCGATACATGCCCAGCAATTCGCCCAGCGAGTCCTGGCAGCCGGTGCGGGCCATGTCAATGAGCTGTGTGAGATCGCTTTTCGCCATGAATGGGCCTCGGCGATGCTTGTTTGCTGAAGGCAGCGACGTCGAGATCTTTTCGAGAATAGTGCCCCAGTATAGTCGCCCGCCCCCTAATTGCGAGCCGATCACTTTATTTTTCATTTTTGCGACACGTTTTCCGCGGGACCGCATCTAGTACTTAGGCCAAGTACGTAAATCTGCATTCTGTCAGCAACAAAAGCTCGCTCAGGGGGGGCCGCTAATGTCTCGCACCATCGCTGCGCACCTAGTTTTCGGCGCGATCTATCTACTCTTGCCACAAGCCGCCACGGCTGCTCCGATCACGATCGACACCGTGCCAATCGGCAATCTCGGGAACAGTGCCGATACCTATGGCATAGGTTTGGGTGCGGTCTCGTACGCCTACAACATCGGCACCACTGAAGTTACCAACGCCCAGTACGCGGCTTTCCTCAACGCCAAGGCGGCCAGCGATCCGCTAGGGCTATACAACACCAATATGGCCAGCGGCTTCGGGGGAATTTCCCGCAGTGGCTCCAGTGGGAGCTACACCTACGCGCCAATCAGCGGGCGCGAAAACAAGCCCGTTAACAATGTCTCGTGGTACGACACGATTCGCTTCGCCAATTGGCTGCACAACGGTCAAGGAGCAGGCGATACGGAGACCGGTGCCTACACGATCCTGGGCGGCACGGCCACGCCAACCAACGGACTCAGCATTACTCGCAACCCGAACGCTGCTTGGTGGCTTCCCAGCGAAGATGAGTGGTACAAAGCCGCCTATCACAAGAACGATGGCAATACCGGTAATTACTTCTTGTATCCCACAGGCAGCGATATCGACCCAACAGCAGAACTACCTGTCGGTGGTTCGAACTCCGCGAATTACGAATCTGCGATAAACAATCTAACGGACGTCGGCGCCTACAGCTTCTCCACCAGTCCCTACGGTACGTTCGACCAAGGCGGCAATGTCTCTGAGCTGAACGAAACGCTGGTTTCAGGTTTGTTCCGCGGTCTCCGGGGAGGCTCCTTCTTGACCAACGAGTTCCCCCTTCGTGCGTCAGTCCCACAAAGCTACGACCCTACCTTTGAAAACCCAAGCATCGGGTTCCGTGTCGCAACCGTCCCCGAGCCCAGTTCGCTGGCGCTGGCGAGCATGGGCTTACTGAGCATTGGCCTACTCGTGAGACGTCGTCGGGCAAAGTGACCCTTCGACTTTTCAGACCTGAGTGATTACCCCATCGCCTTGAAGTTCCACATACACCCGCCTTGCTCACGACCACAAACAACACGAAAAGATCAACGATGAAAACTTCAGCCACGATAGCCACGGTCACAGTTCTGCTCCTGCTAAACACCGCCACCAATGCCGCCCCCGTTAGCTTCACCGGACTTGGTGATCTGCCCGGCGGAATTCTTAACAGCTCCGCATCTGCAGTCTCGGCCGATGGCAAGGTCGTCGTCGGACAGGCGTCTTCGTCCTCGGGGACAGAAGCGTTCCGTTGGACTTCCAGCGGCGGGATGATTGGCCTCGGCGATCTACCGGGCGGAGGTTTTTTTAGCAATGCATATGACGTCTCGGCCGACGGGGCGGTCGTCGTCGGATCGGGGTATTCAAATTCGGTTTACGGAACTCCGATTTACGAAGCGTATCGGTGGACCTCTGGCAGTGGAATGGTCGGCCTCGACAATCTGTCCGGCGGCTATGCCTCCAGCTATGCGTATGGTGTCTCGGACGACGGGTCGGTTGTCGTGGGCATGTCGGAATCAGGTGGGGTCTCGCAAGCTTTTCGCTGGACGTCCGGTAGCGGAATGGTGGGGCTTGGTGACCTGCCTGATGGTGGGTATGGAAGTTATGCAATTGCCAGCTCCCCCGACGGGTCGGTCGTCGTGGGATGGGGAACAAGTGCGTCGGGTTACGAAGCATTTCGGTGGACTGCTGGTTCAGGAATGGTTGGTCTCGGCGATCTACCTGGAGGAATTTTTTACAGCACGGCGTACGACGTTTCGGACGACGGATTGGTCATCGTAGGACGGGGGTATTCGGCCTCAGGTCAGGAAGCGTTTCTCTGGACTTCTGGCGACGGCATGGTTGGACTCGGCGATCTGCCGGGGGGAAGTTTTAACAGCACAGCACGAGGTGTCTCAGCTGACGGATCGGTTGTCGTGGGCCAAAGCTCCTCTGCCCAGGGAACAGAAGCCTTTTTGTGGGACGATGCCAATGGCATGCGCAGCCTAAAAGACGTTCTCACTAGCGAATACGGGCTGGACCTTACTGACTGGTCACTCTACGACGCCCGTGGCATCTCCGCCGACGGACGTACCATCGTCGGCACTGGCGTCAACCCCGATGGAGACACTGAAGCCTGGGTCGCAGTTGTGCCCGAGCCCTCGAGCTTCGTACTAGCCGGCTTTGGCTTGGTTGCACTCGTTCTCTCCTCCTGGCGTCGTCGGGCAAAGTAACCTTTGGACTTTCTGGGCCCGAGTGATTACCCCACCGCTTCGAAGTTCCGCATGAACCAGCCTCACTCACAAACAACTTGCAACCGGAAAAGGCCAATGATGAAGACTTCAGCCACGATAGCCACGATCACTAAACTGCTCTTGCTAAGCACCATTGCCACCGCCGCCCCTGTTAGCTTCACCGGGCTTGGCGATCTGCCTGGCGAAGCTACTTTCAGCGGTGCATATGGCGTTTCAGCCGATGGGTCGGTCGTCGTGGGACAGTCCTACTCATCATCAGGCCAGGAAGCCTTTCGCTGGACTTCCAGCGGAGGAATAGTTGGCCTCGGCGATCTGCCGGGCGGAAGCTTTAGCAGCCTTGCATATGGCGTTTCGGCCGATGGGTCGGTCGTCGTGGGACGGTCCTACTCATCATCAGGTCAGGAAGCATTTCGCTGGACTTCTGGCGGCGGGATGGTCGCGATTGGAGATCTACCCGGTGGAAGTTCTTCATATAACAGCAGAGCTCATGGCGTTTCAGCCGATGGCTCGGTCGTTGTCGGACGGGGGGATTCAGCCTCGGGTTACGAAGCATTCCGTTGGACAACCGGCGGAGGAATGGTCGGCCTCGGCGATCTACCAGGTGGATACTTTAGCAGCGATGCACATAGCGTCTCGGCCGATGGCACAGTCGTCGTCGGACAGGGGACTTCAGCCTCGGGGGTGGAAGCGTTTCGTTGGACTTCCAGCGGCGGCATGGTTGGTCTCGGCGATCTACCCGGCGGAAATTACTACAGCCTTGCAACAGGCGTCTCGGCCGATGGCTCCGTAGTCGTCGGTAGAGGTTTTTCGGCCTTGGGAGAGGAAGCGTTTCGCTGGACTTCCGGCAGCGGGATGGTTGGCCTCGGAGACCTACCCGGGGGAGCTGTCCGTAGCGAAGCCTCTGGAGTTTCAGGAGATGGGTCGATCGTCGTGGGACACAGCTACTCTGCTTTAGGCAGCGAAGCCTTTTTGTGGGACGACGCCAATGGCATGCGCAGCCTGAAAGACGTTCTCACTCTTGAGTACGGCCTGGACCTAACCGGCTGGAATCTCAGGGGAGCCCGTGGAATCTCCGCAGACGGGCGCACGATTGTCGGCTATGGCACCAATCCCAATGGTTTTGGCGAAGCCTGGGTCGCTGTCGTGCCCGAGCCTTCGAGCTTTTTACTAGCCGGACTCGGCCTGATTGCACTCGTTCTGTCTGCTTGGCGTCGTCGGGCCAAGTGACCCTTCGACCTTCCAGGCCTGAGTGATTACCCCACCGCTTCGAAGTTCCGCATGAACCCGCCTTGCTCACGAACAACTTGCAACCGGAAAAGGCTAACAATGAAAACTTCAGCCACGATAACCACAACCGCAGCCCTGCTCTTGCTAAGCAACATCACCGATGCCGCCCCCGTTAGCTTCACAGGGCTTGGCGATCTGCCTGGTCAATTCTTCTTCAGCTCTGCCTATGGAGTCTCGGCCGATGGCACAGTCGTCGTCGGAGCGTCGTATTCAGGCTCGGGGCGAGAAGCGTTTCGCTGGACCTCGGGTAGTGGAATTGTGGGGCTTGGCGATCTTCCCGGCGGAGGTTTTTCCAGCATTGGATATGGCGTCTCGGCCGACGGGTCGGTCGTCGTGGGGGATGGGCTATCGACCTCGGGGCAGGAGGCCTATCGCTGGACTGCGGGCAGCGGATTGGTCGGGCTTGGCGATCTTCCCGGCGGAAATTTTGAGAGTCAGGCGCGGGGCGTCTCAGCCGATGGATCGGTCGTCGTGGGAAAAGGGAGTTCTGCCTCAGGTTACGAAGCGTTCCGCTGGACTTCCAGCGGCGGGATGGTTGGACTCGGTGATCTCCCCGGTGGAAGTTTCTCCAGCTCCGCACACAGCGTCTCGGGCGATGGGTCAGTCATTGTAGGAGAAGGAAATTCTGCCTCTGGATTCGAAGCGTTCCGCTGGACTTCTAGTGGCGGGATGGTTGGTCTTGGCGATCTTCCCGGCGGAGGTTTTTCCAGTTCTGCCCAAAGCGTCTCGGCCGATGGGGCAGTGGTCGTCGGATGGGGGGATTCGGCCTCGGGTCAAGAAGCGTTTCGCTGGACTTCCGGTAGTGGGATGGTTGGGCTCGGCTATCTCCCCGGCGGATTCAGCAGTCAGGCTTACGGAGTTTCGGGCGACGGATCGATTGTTGTCGGAAGGAGCTTTACTTCCCAGGGCCGAGAAGCCTTTTTGTGGGACGACGACAATGGGATGCGCAATTTGAAAGACATCCTCACTCTCGATTATGGGCTGGACCTTACTGGCTGGACTCTCGACGAAGCCCGTGGGATCACCGCCGACGGACGCGCCATTGTTGGCACAGGCACCAACCCCAACGGAAGAAGCGAAGCCTGGGTCGCTGTCGTGCCCGAGCCCTCGAGCTTCGTGCTAGCCGGCTTCGGCCTGGTTGCACTCGTTCTTTCCGCCTGGCGTCGTCGCCGGCCTGGTTAGGCTCTCTCGCAAATAAATGGCAGTGCCAATGCGCTGCACCATCGCATGGGCTTTATTCCAGTAACGCACCAATGACTCAAACCAGCAAGAATTGCACCGCTGCCCCCTCAACTCCACACACGACCACAATTCCTCCCGCAAGGCGGTGCAGTCAACTCGGAATAGTTGGAACTTCTACAGCGAACGCATCGAAAGGCCCGCTCATGAACTCTACAAACAAGACTCGAGCATGTCATATCATGACGGCTTCACTTCTCGTCGCCATAGCATTGACTGCGGACCCCGCACAAGCGGACTTCGATGGCGGTTCGGCTTCTCAAGAGTATTTCCGGGTGAACGAAGTCAATGCCAACATTACCATTAATGAAGGGCAAGCCACCACTTTCTATATTTCAATCCGGGCTCAACCTGCCGGTAGTCAAAGTGGCTTTGCCGGAACGACGACTACCAGATTGACATCGAACTCGGTTGTCTTCAGTCGGACGGGACCATCGGGTTCCTCGTCTTATGTTAGCCCGTCACAAACAGATGCAACATTCCAACTTCACGGTGGTGGTTTTTCGTTCGGTCAAGATGGTGTGCACACAATTTCGTATTCAGACAATGTGCCATTAGAAGCTGTGCAGAACAGTTCGTACAGCTTGGGTTCTCAAACCAATCCTGGAAGCTACCTACTAAGTAACAGCCGCACGGTTACCGTGAACAACGTCGCACCGACGGTGATTTCCGCGACTCAGAATGGTACGGACGGCACCATCACTGTTAGTGAAGGTTCATCGGTAGCCTTGCATATGGAGTCGTCAGACCCTGGACAGGATGCCCAGACCTTCTCCATTAATGGCACAACCGCGGGAATAGATACTGATACCTTCGGAACCCGAACCTCGAATAGCGTCAATCAGCCATTCAACCAAGACGGCACATTCACCAACACGTTCGCCGTAACGGATGATGACACAACCACGACGGTCACTCGTAATCTGGTCGTGACAAATGTTGCACCAACGATCGTTAGCGCCACACAGAACGGAACCGACGGCAACATAACAGTTAACGAGGGTTCGACCGTTGCACTCCAGATGCAATCCACTGATCCGGGAACCGACGCGCAGACATTCACCATCAATGGCACCAGCGCCGGCACCGGAGGAACAGTCGGAACCCGAACGTCGAATATCACAAATGTCGCCGCAGTAGACGAGGGAACCCTCACCAACACATTCGCCGTAATGGACGACGACACCACATCAACCCTCAGTCGCTCGGTAACGGTGCTGAATGTTGCTCCGAGCTTGTTCGGGCTGAACGTTCCCGGTACCGCGATTAGCTCTGGACAAACGGCCACATTCAGCGTCTCGGCGAATGATCCAGGCGTGTTGGATGACCTTACTTTTGCATGGGATCTCGACGGCGACGGCCTGTTTGATGATTCCGTTACGAATCAGGGCAGCGGTGGACTCGCCAGCGACAGCGTAGTCTTTACGGCCCCGGCTTCGCCTCCTAATAGCTTCGCACTTGGTGTTCGAGTGTTTGATGGTGACGGTGGTCAAGACACGATTTTATTCAACGTCCTCGTCCCAGAACCCACGACCATTGTGATGATGGGAATCGGATCCATCGGTCTGGCTTTCCTCGCTCGACGGCGGCGAAAGCGAGCTTAGTTCCCCTGCCCGTTCTTGGTTCCTCATATACGCGATCAGGATTGTTCCAAGGAAATCAATTCCTGCCCACGGCAAGCTGCTTAGCCTCTCCTAAGACATACAACACGGAGCCTAGCTAATGATCTCTCATCCTCGAAAGGTTCTCTTCGCCCCATTGTCAGCATTTGCACTCGCGCTTTCCATTATCCCCTGTGCTGTTGCTAGTCCGACATCTACAGCAGATGAGCTGGAGGCCGAGGGTGCCGCCCTCTACGACTTTCGGAATGATGTGGAGTCTGCTTTCTCGGCACTTGCAACTGAACTGGCTCTGATTGGAGGGGGATTCTCACCGCCAGGCTTGGAGCCAATCGGCAACAATCTCTTCGCGGCTGGCAACGAACTGAGATTACTCAATTTTTCCAATGCCGCGAACGCGATGGAGGTCGAAGGTGCTGCCCTTTATGGGTTCAGGAATGACGTCGAAGATGGATTCTCGGCACTTGCAACTGAAATAGCGCTGCTTGGCGGGGGCTTCTCACCACCAGGCTTGGAGCCAATCGGCAACAATCTGTTCGCGGCTGGCAACGAACTGGGCTTACTCAACTTTTCCGATGCCGCGAACGCGATGGAGGCCGAAGGTGCCGCCCTCTATGGTTTCAGAAATGACGTGGAAAACGCTTTCTCGGCACTTGCAACCGAAATAGCGCTGCTTGGTGGGGGATTCTCACCGCCAGGTTTGGAGCCAATCGGCAATAATCTTTTCGCTGCCGGTGAAGAGCTACGCTCAGTACCCGAACCGGGAACTCTCGTTCTAGCCTTTACAGGACTCGCATTCCTGTTAGTGGTTTGCCGTGGTAAGCGCTGCAAGAGTTTCACGCTCTTTCAGAACTCCCTCAGACGGCTCTCAGGCTGAAATGTACACAAATGCCTCCACACAACAGTAATCAACGGGCATACAGCCTCTCCCTCCTACTCCTCTCCAACCTCCGAACAGCCGGTACCGCTGATGACCCACACAATTAACTCCCTGTTTCAAAACAGAATTACGTGTAGTTTTCTCGCAATAGTCATTACTAATGCCGCGATCTCACCAGACGCAATTGCGCAATCCACGGAGTGGATCAACGCCACTTCAGGTGCTTGGTTAGACAGTGCTAATTGGGACGCCGATGTCCCAGGTTTCTTCACCGAAGCCTATATCCAAAACGACGGAACAGCCGTCGTCGGCAATGGCGACTATGCGGAGACCTCCTACCTCTACCTCGGGTCTACCAGTGCTGCTGGCCACCTTGTAATTCAGTCGAGTAATTCGGGAGCGGACCTGATAGTCCATGATCAAATGTCGCTGCAGGGCGGATCGACCCTGTCCCTAACCGGAGACTACTCAAATCTATCTGTTTCATACGACGTGTCGGTTTCATCCGGCAGCTCGATATCACAAACCGGCGGTTTCTTCGATGCCTCCTCCTCACCGTACTTCGATCTAAGCGGAGAGTACCTCCTGCAGGGCGGATCTTTGTGGGCTTCGAGAGTCAGTGTTGAAGGAGAACTTCGACAGTCCGGAGGTTACTTCGACGCGTATGAGCTGTCAGGGGGAGGACTTGTCGAAGTCAGCGGGGGGAATGCGTACGTCCAAAACTTGAACGATGCCTATGGGGGCATCGAGGTCCGCGGGGGATCGGTAGATATGGCCGGCGAGTGGGTCAACTCGAATGTCGCCGTGTACGATGGTGACCTTGAGCTCTCCGCCAACAATTTTTGGTCGTACAACAGTTCGCTCACAATCGAGGGTGGTACGGTTGGAACAGCCAGCGCACCGGACCTCATCCTTGATAGCTCCAACATAAATCTCGATGGTGGCGTTCTAAATCTCACCAACCTGGACCTCTTCGAATCGACCTACCAGCAATCGTCTTATCTAGGCAATACCCCGAGTGCTGTGATTCAGTCGGTGCAAATTTACGGTTCCAACTCAAGCTTTTCCGTGGACGGGGGCGAGCTATCGATTGATTACCTACTGGGCGACTATTCTTCCCAGACATCGGCAGACATCTACGGAGGCGATGTCAGTGTCAGCCATGCAGAAAACCTGACCATCAATCAATCTGGTGGAACGCTTGCGATTGACAATTCCGCAGGTGGAGATCTCTGGATCTATGGAGACTTCGGCACACTGGCAATCGGCGACGCAATGGACGATGGCGAGGTTATTAGCACCCTCAACATCGCTGGCGGGCTGTTGCAAAACCAAATCAACCTGGACCTCGGTGGTGATCAGGTGTCCGAGTACGATCAGATCTTGGTCGACCAATTTTATGAATACAACGGAGGGGGCACATTGAGCGAAGTGGAGCTATTCTCGCTAGCTATCCTCGAAGTCGATTTCGTCAATGGGTTTCAGCCGGAGATCGGTGACCAGTTCACGATCGTAGCCAACGACACGAATCTGCCGATTGCGGCGACTAACAGCTTCGCTTCCCCCCACGATCCGCTGGTGCCGTTGGCCGACGGTGACATCATCAGCAGCGGATACGCCGACTACCTGATCTCCTTCAACGCAGGCTCCAGTGGCAACGGAATTGTTCTGACTGTGGTCAGTGTTCCAGAACCCAGCGGAGCAATCTTGATGTTAGGGGGTGGCGGGCTCTTGCTGTGCGGTTTGGCCAGTAGAAGGAGAAAACGAAAGAAGGCTACCTATTAGAGCCATGCTGGCCACTAGTCCAGGTGGGCTCGTGACTCGGCCCTTTGCTGGCGAACGGCCACCGCCAATCGATCCGGCGCTCTTGGTGCCTCATTCTCAAGTATCAACTACGAGAGAAAGATGATGAAAGCAATAAACCCAGTACTTTATCTCGCAATCGTCGTGGCCATCTCCTCGTGTGGCGAACTTCGCGCCAATTTGATATTCAACATCTCAGAGATTGGCGAAGACGTCGTGTTTTCGGGAAGTGGTTCGGTTGATCTTGCAGGGTTAACTAAGATCGACACCGCCACAAGTGCTCAAGTAAATCCTGCAAGTCTCTTTAGGACAGGACCAACAAGCTTCACCGCGGTGGACCTATATCTAGGATCGGTGACCGGCCCAAGTTCTATTGGCCCCGGCTCGACAAGCTTCTACGCGACCAGTGGAAGCGGCGACTTGATGGGACTCAACGGGCCGTCGCTAGGCAGCTCGGCCGCATTGATCCTGCCGAATGGCTACACAACCGGAAGCACGCTCGCCGCCTCCTCGACCTATGCCTCTCAGACGCTCGGCTCGCTTGGACTCACTGCAGGCTCCTACGCTTGGGCCATCGGAGCAAACAGCGTAACGCTAAATATTGCGACCGTGCCGGAGCCTGGCTTATCGGTATATCTTGTCACCTCCTTAGTTGTCACTGTGGCGTACATTCGTTGCACGCGTTCACAATCACAATGCTGAGCGTCCTGAAAGAGCGATGGTTCCATTCCGCAACCAACTCTCCGGCTGCAGTCATTGAATCACATACGAAGTGACAGCAGCAGGCACGAGCAACAATCAAGTCGCAGTATTTCGTTTACTCCCAGCCACTTATCGACCATGTCTGTTTGTGGAGGAACCGCACACGCGGTAACACCGCTTCAGCAGATCGCGAAATGCCACCCCTGCCGGATTCTGAGCGAGACGAAACACAGCACGCGAAATTGGGCAGTTTTACCGCTGCAGAAGCATGACTAGTCGCCGTTGGTGTCGGGGCATTCAATGTAGAACCGCTCGGGCCGTCGCTGGTCGACGACAACTCTGACGACGCTGCCCACCTTGAGAGTCATCGCATACTCCGCGGCCACAATCCTCTTTTCGGTATAGTCGCGGCCGTTATAGGCGACCGTCAGGTAAACCTCAGTGCCATTGAGAACTGTCGAGCCAAACCGAGTCAGTGTCGCTTCAGCCAATTCTCCATGCTGGCGAACACTGTGTAGATGCCACCAGATAAGTACAGCCCCGACACCGATGACACCAGTCGCAAAGACAGGAATCATCAGGTATGTCTTGAAGTTCTCCCCCTGCCAGCCTTCTTCGACCGAGAAGCTGTCAAAGACTAAGCACATCCAAAAGACGCCCGAAAGGAGAACCGCGGAGAGGACGAGCGGCTTGACGCGGACAGGTCTGATTTCGCGATTCTGCATCAGACTTCTTGGAGCCAGGGTTTCAGCAGGGGGTTTACATCGGAGGCACGCGCGATGAATCAGTCACTAGCGTAAGACGTAGTCTGACAACTTGCTACCCCGAGCCGGACTGAGTGCATTCACTTTGCATTGCAAGATAACTCTAGAGTCGAACGCGGTTCAACTCATCCCATATGCGACCTGGAGTAGTGTAAAGGGACCATGAAATTCGTTTGCAACCATTACTCCTGATACATGCGTCCGTATTCGCTCCACTTCTACCTCCACGCTCCTGGCTACAGGTGTTACACACCAGTTCACTCACGTAAGGCTCGCCCTCGTACAGATGCAATGCCAAGGTGCCTCCAAACTAATCGGCCCTGCCCTATCTGTTGCGGCTTCGCTTGGCTTTGCAACCCGGAACTTCAGCAGCCTGCCCCGTTGTGCGGTGCGGTGTCTCAGCTTTACATTCACCCTCACAGTACTTCCTGCTACCGCGGTACCGCACACTTTGTTTTGCTACTGCTCTAACAATCACACATAAGGAGCGACCAGCATGAGGCCCTGCTCGATTTCAGCGCAAGTAGAGCACGACTCCTTCGCGTTCAGGTGATGCGAGATACCGAAAGCAGTTTAACTCGCAGCAAACACTTGATTCCAGACTTTCTCATCCACAACGGAACAAAAATGGGACAAGGCCAAAACTATTTATGCCACTTGGACCTCGAACTTTTTTTCCGAAGGTCACTGCAGTGGTGAGATCGGGGGCAAGACCCACTCGACAATTTGGGATGAGCCGTGAGGAGCGACGTAGTTGCCTTGGGTTTCGCCCGCGGCTACTAATCGGGTTCCGTCGTGCGAGAAGGCCAAAGCGGAAACATGTTTTAAATTCGTCTTCAGAGAACAGCATCTCTGGCTGGTGCGAACATCCCACAGCACTACAGCATTTGTGTCCCATGTGCCCACGGCTAAAGTTTGTGAGTCTGGAGAAAATGCGAAACAACTGGTCTGCCCCTCGTCGTTTTGCAACTCTTCAGTGATCTCTCCCGATGAAGGGTCAATCATGACTAGAAAATGGTGGCCAATTGCGGCAACAATTGATTTCCCGTCAGGAGAGAACTTGGCAAGGCGAGAATCCGAATCGAGGTGGCGATGCCCCCATTTTAGTTCGCCCGTACGAGCGTCCCACAACTGAAGTTCGCGAGAACCTGTCAAGAGGTGCTTGCCATCGGGCGAGTAAGCAACGCATCCGATTCGGTCGTTGCTTTGAATTGTTCCGAGCTCTATTCCTGTGGGAAGTTCTAGTGTGATTACCTTGCCCGATTCGTCTACTACGGCTAGCTCCGATCCGTCTGGACTGCAAGCGATCGTATCGACCGTTGCTGGGCCGAGATCTTTCGTAAGGATTTCATTGCCGGTCAAGTAGTCAACAAGATGCACACTTGTGTGGTCGACGGCGGATACGGCAGCCAGGTTGTGTAATTTGTCGAGAGCGAGGATTGTCTTATTGTTAACCCAAGGAACTGGCCGCTCCGATACCATTTGACGCGAAGCTATATCCCAGGTGCGAAGTGTTCCGCCTTCGTGAGTCGACACGATCGTACTGGGGTTACCAGATATGGCGATGTCCCAGACATGTCCAGAAGCTGGTTGATAGCAATCTTTGCCATGCAGACTTGCGATATCCCACAGCTTGATTGAGTGATCTGCAGCTGCGGTGGCTAAGTATTTTCCGTCTGGCGACCAAGCTAGATTCCAGACTTGACCTGCGTGACCTTGGATGGTTGCTTCTAGCCGAGGATCTGTCGCTTCACCGCTAGGCAGGTTCCACAGCAGCACCGTTCCGGCCTGGTTGGCGTTGGCCAACAGCGAACCGTCTGGTGACAAGTTAGAATCCCTTATCCAGCTTCGGTGCCTATCCGATTCTGAGATTGTCGAACAAGTGCCTGTGTGAAGGTCCCAGTAGTAGGCGATCGAATCTCTCCCGGCCGCCACCAAATGCTCCGAGTCCTCTTTGAAATCAATCGCGAACAGCGGGCCATCGGTCTGGAATAAGGTTGGAAGGCTTTGCCAGGTTTCCGTATTCCAGCGATGAATCAAACCGCTCTCATCGCAGGCGGCCAGTGATTGACCGTCTGGCGAGTAGCGTAAACAGCGGATCACGCCCCCCTGAGGCGTTATCGTTGCAAGTGGCCGTTGATCCGCGAGGTTCCACAGTCGCACTTGCCGGTCGCGACCTCCGGATGCAAGCTGCTGCCCATCGGGTGAGAAAGCAACTGTGAGAATATGATCTTCATGACCTGAGAGCGTAAACAGAGACTCTCCGCTCAGGGAATCCCACACGATCACTTGGTGATCTTCGCTTCCGGTTGCGAGCCTCGTGCCGTCTGGCGAATACTGGACGCAGGTGACTTCGGTCGTATGCCCCAAAAGAACATGCAGTTGTTTTCCGGTAGGCACGTCCCAAATTCTTGCGGTCCCGTCCTTGCTAGCTGTGGCACAATTCTTCCCATTGGGCGAGAAGTCAACGCTGAACACTTCGTCAGAGTGCCCCACAAACGAGCGCACCTCTCCGTGGCATTGCCCCGATAGCCAGTGCCAGGAGAACTCCCGAAGGTCGGGCTGGCCAGGTTTGGGAATGTGTCGACTCAACAGCTCCAGCGCACTGTTGCGGTTCATCAAATGCCAGGCATCGTATGCTGATCGTACGTCGGCCGTGTAGAGTAATCGCCGCGTCTGCAACGTCTCGTTTTCAGCTCGAATACGTTCGGTTTCTGCTTCTTTCAATGCATTCGAGACTCGGACGTTATAGAGCCCCGCTCCTCCGGCTAGCAGAACAAGTAGTGCTGAGCTGATAAGCAGCAGCGCCGCAATGGCAGGTCGCTTACGTGACCACCGCCATGCGCGGTGCGATATCCCAATCGGACGGGCAATCGTGGGCGTGCCGTTTTGGAAACGCCTCAAATCCAGGGCCAGTTCCCCAGCCGTGAGATAACGTTGTGCCGGGCGTTTCTCTAGACACTTCAAACAAATTGCTTCCAGATCGCGCGGTACACGTGGACGCGCGATCCGCACCAGGGGAGGGTCGTCGCTGACAATGCGGCGCAAGGTGTCTACATCCGATTCGCCGCGTAGCGGAGGCTGTCCGGTGAGCAACTCGAAAAGAATTGCCCCCAGTGCGTAGATGTCCGTCGCCGGTCCTATCTCGTCGAGTCGACCTTCTGCCTGTTCCGGAGCCATGTAGAGCGGCGTACCAATGACGGCTCCGGTATGCGTTACCCCCTCGGTTGTTTCGCGGAGCTTGGCCAAGCCAAAGTCGGCGATTTTTGGAACATAGTCAGCAAGGCTGCCTCGCGGGCTGAGCAAGTGTTGGGGTTGAAGCAGAATATTGCCGGGCTTGACGTCGCGATGCACGACACCTCGAGCATGGGCATGCTCCAGAGCATCGGCCAGAGTTGCAATCAAGACTGCCGCTTCTCCGACATCGACTGGGTCTTGTCGATCATTGAGCCAAGCGGCGAGTGTTGGTCCAGGAATGTAGGCAGCCGCAATGAAGCTGATGGGGCCTTCGGCTCC